CCCCAAAACCCCAAAACCCCAAGGAATAAAATTATAGGGGATAACTAATTATAACAAGAATAATTTTAAATACAAATTAAAAACAGAAAAAATTAGATGGACCCTGCAAACACTAATCAGTCTTATATCACTGTTGATCATGTTGGCTAACCAGATTAAGATACTTATTTCACACTTGATGTGCTAAGTAAATTCTACCTAACTCCTCATCACAAACTAAACAAAGAATTTCTTGAGAAAGAACTTTACCCTCATATAAAAAGAGTCAAAAAATGTGATAAAAAGAGAATCCTAGTAACTGGAGGAGCAGGATTCGTAGGATCACACCTAGTTGATAGATTAATGCTTATGGGCCATGAAGTAATTGTGATCGATAATTTTTTCACTGGGTCAAAGACTAATATACTTCACTGGATCGGGCATCCAAATTTTACTTTAATGGAGCATGATATTGTCACACCTATTCTTATTTAAGTTGATGAAATCTATCATCTGGCATGTCCTGCTTCTCCCCCAGCATATCAATTCAACCCAATAAAAACTATTGAAACTAATGTAATTGGTACATCTAACATGCTTTCTTTGGCAAAGCAAGTTAAGGCAAGATTTCTACTCACTTCTACAAGTGAAATTTATGGTGATCCCTTAGAGCACCCATAAAAGGAGACTTATTGGGGTAATGTCAATCCAATCGGTCCAAGAGCATGCTATGATGAAGGTAAAAGAGCTGCTGAGACATTGACTTATGCTTACCAAACTTAAGAAAAAGTTGATGTGCGAGTAGTTAGAATCTTTAATACATTTGGACCAAGAATGGATGAGAATGATGGTAGAGTAGTGAGTAACTTTATTATGCAGGCTCTCTAAAATCAAGATATGACTATCTACGGAGATGGTAATCAAACAAGATCTTTCTAATTTGTCCATGATCTAGTAGATGGTTTAATATCTACAATGAGAAATGAATTTACTCTTCCAATTAATCTTGGTAACCCAGTTGAATTCACAATCCTTGAGCTGGCTGAAGAATTAAAAGGGTTTATTGGAAGTGAATCCAAACTAGTTAAGCTACCAGCTGTTCAAGATGATCCTAAGCAAAGAAGGCCAGATATAAGTCTAGCGAAGGAAAAACTTGATTGGGAACCAAAATTCAGCAGACAATAAGGTCTTCTGGAAACTATTTAATATTTCAGATAAATTGTGGAAGCTGATTGTGAAGCAACAAGGAGATCTTGAGTTAATTAATGCATACTGGACTAATCTTTAGGGCAGATGCGTTTTAGTCATGAATCATTAAATCAATATTTACTCAATAAATGTTCATAGATGTTATTACTCCAGAATTTAGATAACTGACAGTCGGGGTTTTGGGGTTTTGGGGTTTTGGGG